TTAACATCTGATTTTGTTTTATAAATGAAACAGGAAAGTGGGACTGAAAAGCCCATTGTTGCCTTCATTGCTGGACTTACTGCTCCTCCGGGACGACGTATGGGTCACGCAGGAGGTAAGACATTGCTTCCATGTTTTGCCTATTAGGTTTATTATTGCAGTTGCTAGTATTATATATCTCTTGCACGGACTCTTGCATAAGCTAAAAATATAGTTCAATTCCAAGACCCTCTCTATACTGGAAAAGGAAGATGTCCAGTCTATTATTACAATTCAGATATCACATTTTCACATTTTAGATGAAAGGTAAATTGTTATCTTTGTTCTTGATGTATTTATTACCATTGAAATTGGCCATTGTGGGCATGGTTGAAAGAAAAATCAAAGAAAAGATCGAACTGGTTAGACCTTTGTTGAAAACTCTTTCTGGGTTTTTTTCTTAACCTATATTGGCTGGTTCTGTAATTGTTCAGTTCAACTTGTATGGTTGAACCACCAATCAGTTCTCGATTCAACAACCAATCCTGTCTGGTTTTTACACGACCATGACGTTGGGATATTTTTGTGTGTGGAAATAATATAGGAATTGTTGGTCTAAAATGTTGTATGTTTGTACAAACAGCTATAGTATCAGGGGGCAAGGGCACGGCTCAGGACAAAATCAAGACACTAAGGGAAGCTGGAGTGACGGTTGTTGAATCACCTGCAAAGATTGGTGCAGCAATGCATGATGTTTTCAAGCTAAGAGGCCTTCTGAATTAGCCCCTTTTTTCTTCTTTTTCATCGGAATAAGTTTCAGTTGGGTTGACATCTTTCATATATTTCCATTGTTGTTTTTTTGGTCCAAATTTGTTTTATACTGAAAATGAGGGAAAATCTTGTACCCTTCCTCGATGAAACCATCATTTGGCTGAAGAAAATGTTTCGCTTTTAACTTTATTCTATCAACTTGATTTAATTATTGATTAGAAAACAAAAAGAAAAGTAAAAAAAAGAAAAGATGTTAGTTTAACTTGATTAATTATAATTAGGATTATTATCAGTAAAAAAATAAAAATTTTACAAATCGGATGAAAAAAATAATATTCTTAATATAAAACAAACAGCTCAGCTGGACCACCTCATTAACAGTAAACAAAAGAAGAAGAAAATACTAAAATCTTACAATTCATATAACAAACATCAAATGACAATCACTATTATCCTAAGCCCTGGTCAGCTAGTCGGAAAATAGTAAACATTTATTGCATATCCACACAAAATCATAATACTTTATCAAAACAAATATCAGTCAAAATAACTTAAGTCAATCAATCCAAAAATCACTCAAAGTGTCAATCACTCTCTACTCTACTACGTCCTTCACATGCCCAAGTTATTTTTCCACACTCTCTCTCTTGGAGTCTAGCGAAATTTAATTCGATCTGGTTTTTTCATACTATTTCTTATGGTCAAGCAAAATTCTATTCGATATAAAAAATTAATTATTTTAAATATATTTGATGAGCTAAAACTTAAGTGACCAAAACTTAATTTTAAATTTGATGAGAAAAATATGAAGATATAAAAGATAAGTGGCCATTTAGGAGTTTATCTTTTTGATTAAGCCAAAATTTAAAAATATGATTAAAAAAACGATTTTTCCAGAAACAGGGTGTATTAATATTTGTATTGGGCGTGGCGCCACATTTGGAAGCTCCACCACCTTTCGGACTTCCCCTCCCCACCCATCCGCTCTCTGTTCTTTTGCAGTACCATATTCAGTAGTTTGTTTGTCAATGGTGCCGGCGCTGATGAAGGGGCCAAAGCGGAAGAGAGCTGCTGGTATCAGTGAGTGTGATCTTCATAATAGTAAATACGAAGGAGTGATCTTGAGGAATCAACGCCATGAAAATAGTAGGATTCTTAGAGCCAAACCCAAAAATTTAGACGGATTTTCTGCAAAGGTGCCTCCTTTCAAAGGAGCCAAAACCGGACGAGCCGTATTTTACCCTAAGAAGCTCAAACATAAGACTTTGGAAAGAGAAAATAATGAAGAGGAGGAGGAAGATGTTGATTTAGAAACTGATGGCAGTCAAGAAAATGACGGAGAAGATAAAGAAACAGAGAGAGCAAATGAACCCGTGACAAATTATTCAAAGAAGAGGATGGATGCTACAGTAAGAAAATGAACCCTTCGTTTTACGTTGGTCCTGATGGTTTTTTTCCTGATTCTCTTTTCATTTTTTTGGGGGTTTTAGGGAACATCACTAATGTGCCATCAATGCCAGAGGAATGATAAAAGTCGAGTCATTAATTGCAAAACTTGCCGCAGGAGACGATATTGCATCCCCTGTATAACTAATTGGTATTCTTTATTTTCATTTAACTTCGTCTTCTTTCTTTAACTAGTGATGCCTTCCTTAGGTTTGATTCTTATTTCTATTGTCCATCTCCATAACTTGGTTTAACCCATATAGGTTGTCATCCACTTAAGATTGTATGTGACTGTGAGTTTGAATTCTTTGGTAATACTAGATTATATTGGAGTTCCCATCTACCGCTTTATTATAGGTTTAATATAAAAATATTTGTTCAAATATATCGTTTTTTAAAATAATGTCAAATTCAATCCATTTTAAGTATCCAATCGCAATAACCGTTGAAAACTTTTTATTAAACGATATGTATTTTATTTTGATAATTTTAAATATTATATTTTTTTATAAAACTTAAAAATAAATTATTATATTAAAAATACCTTCTTTACATTTTAAAGATTATATTTTAAAAACAACCTTAAGTCCAACAAAAAAAACCTTAAACGACACCCTTAATTATTAGGAAACATAAATGAACAACTTTCTATTCAAAAGTCCATCCAACAGTTACTAACCAACATTTATCTCCAGCCTTCATCTCTACTCTAGAGTATCTCTATATCTACTCAGGAGATGAACCAATAATTAATCTCCAGCATTATCTCTACATTACCACAAACTCTATTTTATTCACAATATTTAACTATTATAATATTGATTTTGCAAATATAAAATTAAACATATACATTTCTAATAAATATCAAAATAAAAAAATATAAATAAAGCATTCATAAATAATATTGCGAAAATAAAAATAAATAAGAAAATTACAATTCATAATAATAATGCGAAAAACATAAATTACATAATTATATATTCTAATTCTCTGAATTAGAATATTCATTCTACAAATACTCAATTAGTACATTTCGTATAGCAAAATGAGCATTTGCATCTTTAATTTGTCTAAATCGGGTAAGGAATTCTTGAAATTGAGTCTCATCATCTTCAACAAATTTGACATTCGGAGGGGGTGCATCTCTTCCTTCAACAATTGGAGAATTAAGATCTCGTTCATCATCGATTATAATATTTGAGTTGTTGGTTAAAATGGTGTTTGAGTTTTATTAGTATTTTCTATGTTTTTATATTTGTTGTATTTTTATATTTCAAAAAATTAGTGTGTTTATTTATCTAATTTCAATGTATTTTTATCTATCTTGTAATTTAATATACTTTAATCTACTTTAATCTGATTTAATCTACTTTAATCTAATTTAATCATTTAAAAAAATTCTATGTTTTTATGTTTGTTGTATTTTTATGTTTCAAAAAATTAGTATGTTTATTTATCTAATTTTAATGTATTTTTATCTATCTTGTAATTTAATCTACTTTAATCTAATTTAATTATTTAAAAAAAATTTTGTAGTACAATTACAGTAACACACTAGATGTAGTGTGAAACTACTTGCCACGCTAAACTGGAGCTCAGTTTTGGCACAGCGTTGGAGCTCCAAAGTGGAGATTTTACTCCACTTTTGCGCAGCGCTGGAGAAGCTCTAAGCACATACAATGACTTACCGTATAATTTATCAGTCATTCAAGCCAAATAACATTCATACGCTGATTCTAGAGTTTATTTTATTGATTTAGCATGTTTAATTCTGATCCTTTCAAACATAACTTGTTAATCGTCTAAGAACACATCATACACTAATCCACCCAACACGTAACTTCTTTTAACTTAGAAATCAATCAATCAAAATCACCTCTATGACTAAACCTCAAAAGTTGTAAAAATTCAAAAAAAAAAAAATAGTATATGTTTAAAAATATTTCATCATTCTTACATTTAAAACATACTCTATATTTATTGAATCAGATCTTATCACCAAAAAACTAATTACATAAGATTTCTTTTCTAGAATAAGTATTTACTTATTAAACAAAATTAATTGTTAAATAATCTTAAACTACTAAAATTATAATAAAATCTAAATTAATTATCAATTATAATTTGAGTTAATATAAAACATTTTCTCACTTTAGAATTTGATGAATCTACAGAATTAGTACTTGGAAGACACATGATCCCAATTATCATAATCTAAAACATAAATATGGAACACGTATAAAGATTTAGGATTCACAGGGCCTTTACCTTATTTTGCATAAGAGATGAACCATAATTCTAGCTAGTTTGATCTCAAAGATTACAACCAGAGAATGGGTTTCATGATCAAAACATGGATTCTCTTTCAATTTTTTAGATGAATTTTTGAATTATTAACCTCTTTCTTTGGAGAGTATTTCGGTATATAGGAAGAGAAGACAAAAAAAAAAACTCTATACAAGCTACACATGTTTTTTTCCCTTAAGCTATTTTCCTCACAAATTTCATAAACTAAATGAAATTTTAAGCTTCCCTATATCACAAACAATAGGTGTCGACACATGAAAGAAAATTCTAAGGCTCATCACCCCAATGGTATATTCACATTCTAAAATTAGTTAATTGAAAGATTTAAAAGATATGTAAAACTTTTAAATATTATATTAATTGATTCAATAATTTAAAAATATATATAAATTTTAAAATATTATATTGGGAAGACGAATAGTTGAATACTAACTCAAAATATAAAAAATTTAAATTTTATACTATCTTTCAACCGTCGTGTGTGTATATATATTTAGAAGAAGAAAAAAATCAAAATCAAAATTCATTTCTCTGGTTGTTCCGTTGAAACCATCTTAGACCTGAAACATGTCGTTCGACGGCGGCGGTGGCGGCGCTAACACAGACGGCGCGACTAACAAGGATTTCTTTTGCTACCAATGTAACCGTACCGTCACCATAACAATCTCCCCTTCAGCTGACCCGTCTTGTCCAATATGCAACGAGGGATTCCTCGAAGAATACGAAAACCCTAGCCTTAATCCAGGTTCCACCTTCCAAAACCCGAATCCGAACCCAAACGATCCCTTTTTGTCGGTATCGGATCCGTTTTCTTCCTTCCTCCCGCTCCTTTTCCCTTCTTCCACAGCGACTTCTTCACCATCCCCTCCTTCAATTGACCCTCATAACCCTAACCTGTTCGGACCGACCCGGTCAGGCCGAGGTGTCCCATTCGCTTTCGATCCATCTACTTTCATCCAAAATCATCTCAACGATCTCCGTTCAAGAGGAGCCCAAATCGAGTTCGTGATCCAGAATAATCCCTCCGAGCCTGGCTTTCGGCTTCCGGCGGACCTAGGGGATTATTTCATCGGACACGGGCTCGAGCAACTGATTCAACAGCTGGCCGAAAACGACCCTAACCGGTACGGGACCCCACCGGCATCTAAATCAGCCATTGACGCGCTGCCTACGGTGAAGATAGCGAAGAACAACCTGAATTCGGAGTTCAACCAGTGCGCGGTTTGTATGGATGCGTTCGAGGAAGGGACTGAAGCGAAGCAAATGCCCTGTAAACATCGTTATCACAAAGATTGCATATTGCCGTGGCTGGAAATGCACAATTCGTGCCCCGTGTGTCGTCACGAGTTGCCTACTGATGATCCTGATTATGAGAGGAGGGTTCGTGGGGCACAGGGTACTGCTGGAGGTATCGATGGCAACAGTAGCGAGGGTGATAATGGCCAGACGTCGGGGGATAATCAGACGGTGGAGAGGAGTTATAGGATATCGCTGCCTTGGCCGTTTCGGGCCCGTGGGTCGGGTTCAGGATCAGGTGATAATGCGCAGACCAGGCAAGAAGATTTGGATTGAGAAATGTAAGTATTCTTTGTTCATTTTTCTGACAAATATATTAATCATTATACCCCTTTTCTTTGTGTTGGCTTTCAATTTGCTGATGTTGAAAATCTGGGTTGTAGTTTAATTTTTTGTGTACCATGTATGGTGAACGTGCTCATCAAATTAGTTTGGTTGATAATACAATGGAGACATTCGTCTGAGTTTTGGATATAGGCCTTTGGTCCATTGTAGGGCATGAATGCAGGAATGTGGATAATAGAATGAGAATGCATCTAAAGCATGAATTTCATCAAAATTTTCATCCCTATGATGATGCTCTTTGAGGGTCACAGGCCCTGGCAACATTTATTAACTAAAAATGTATAATATTGATCGAAGTAATTGGATATATGCATTCTTTTATTTGAAGTCCCAAGTGGGCGAATGTTATGCCTGAATGGTTTATTTCCTTGAATTTATTGTTGATGTGATAAAGTTGACATTTGTAAAATATGAGATGATTAATAGTCCATTTTGTGCACTCATTAACACATACAGCTGTCATTATCGCTATAATAGGAGTATAGTTATTACAAAGGTGGAGATCAAGGCTCTTGCATTTTTTGCTCAGTGGAGAACTGGACATGTTGAATCCCTAGCTCAAGTGTTTAAGGAAGGGAGAAGTCTGAACTTGTTTTTAGCTGCCAATATAGAAACTAGAATTTACAGTAATGACAAAGGGGAGTTTTACTTACTTTTCACACATGCAATTTACCGCATATAGTCGCTAATAACTTCCTCAAGGGGGCTTTTTCGTGTTTGACACGCTGTTAGTTTGTCTCTTCATTATGTAGATGCTTGCCATATTGATTTTGGAGGGTATTATAAGTGGTTTGTTTTCTGAACTTAATGCTCTCAAGTATATAGTTAACTAGTTTTAACTGTGAATGGCTTGGTGGCCAATCTTTCAGGCTTAAAATGGTCGGAAGTAATGTTATATATAGATTGAATACCAATTTGAAGATCAGTAAAGTGAAATTCACTGGGGCATGGAAAGATGGTGTAGCTGAACCAAGATATGTTTTCAGAAATATTTTGAAGGAGATTATAGGATCATTTGATTTCTTATGGAATTCTGATTATTTATTTAGGAGTTTGTTTATCCAATATAAGATAAGTAGTTAGATTATCTTTCTCTTTAGCTAATAAGGTAAAGAAAATCATGTAAATAAGTAGTAAAAGAAAAGAGGTAGTGGTAAATGGGAGAAATAAAAAACTAGAAATGTATGTTATTTATAAACTTCTGATATATAACTTGTGACGCTAAAATCATTTTCCGTGGAAGAAACTCCTGGCAAGCTCTGATGGTCATACAATCTTGTTCCATTTTAAGCCGTTTGAATAATCTTGTGGTTGTACTAACCTGGGTTCTTGTAGCATATACGTTTGCATGGTGCTGTAATTCTTTCATTCATTCATTTTTTTTTTTTGTATTGTATCTTCATGGTCAATTTGAATGTACTTGTTCTGTAGTCATATCTGTACAATGGCACCCTAACTTGGATTTAAATTTTGGCAGATTGAAATGCTGTGAAATATCAGCATTTCTTCCATGAGACATGGTGATAGAATAACTTCTTCCAGTGTCTGGAAATCAGAGTATGTTTAATTAAACATGAAGAATTATGTTATCGTGGTTACATTCTAAGAGAGTCTTAGTTTTGCCATCTGGTATTATATGTATATCTGAATTCATTTTACAGCTTTGTTTGTTGTATGACGGATTCAATTACGCTTCCATACATTGTTGTATAGATTCTTCGGTCCTTTGCCCAATTATGCAAAATATTAGTATGTGAAAAATAAACAATAGGTTCCGGTTATTCGTTGGAATAGATAAGTGAATCACCTGAGAAAGGTAACATAACATGCATGTGCCATGTGTTTCAGTGGTGGTATTGGAGCTAACAGGTGTTGGAATGGTAAAACCGACCTATGGTGCGACCTAGTTTGAGGGTGACATTTCAAAGAGTAGAGAGTTGCCTGTTGTTGCATTCCATTTTAACCGACTTACGGCTAGGTATGTCAAATGGGTATGGTGCGGGAAAATTTTCGTCCTGTGACCCGCAAGACTAACGCTATTCCTGTCCTACCATTCACGTAGTTATTGAAATTCACCTAATATATATTATATATGTCTGTCCTATCCTGACCCACTTCATATAATATATGTATAAGTATCAGTTGAATAGATATAAATTATTTTTTCTATAAAAAAATATGAAATATTCGTCTCCGGATTTTCATCACTTCAACGGTCATCAATTAAAAAATAATAATAAATTGTTGTATCTTTTAATTGATAAATTAATATTTAATTTTAATATGAGTTCAAACAAAATTAAAAAAAAAAATCTTTACACAATATTCAAATATGAACTATGTCTTAAATACATTATAAATGTCTTCAAATATAATATAAATATAAAAAATTTACACAAATATATAGAACATTTAAAATTGTTTTCTTAAAATATGTTTATTATGTACATTAAACTGACGAGGAGAAGGGAGAAGGGAGAAGGGAGAAGGGAGAAGGGAGAAGGGAGAAGGGAGAAGGGAGAAGGGAGAAGGGAGAAGGGAGAAGGGAGAAGGGAGAAGGGAGAAGGGAGAAGGGCAACAATTGGCCCAAACATTGATGTTGACGAACCAAAAGCATACGAAGCACGTCGGTTAATTCATACAATATTTTTTATTAAACGAAGAAATATTATATCCTAACAATAATAAATGTTAAGGTTGGAACTTATATAGAAGCATGCTTAACATTAGACTAATTAATTTAATATTTTGTATTTGATCTATGATACTTTTTATTCCATACAAATGGTTAAGTAAAATTAAAATTTTAAACTAGTTTTTATGCAAAAATATGTAGTATTAAATATTGAGTGTGGTAATTTAATTGGATCTTTTATGCATGCATGGACTCACTGGTGTTGACCCATTTGATAATTCGGGCCACCCAAGTGAGCTCGTTAAACAACAAATTAAACCCTCAGCAATGGTCTCGCCATTCGTTCATCGCTGCAAGCAATTCTTCCATTTCCAGCAAAACAGAAAGGCGGGTAGACACGAACAATGGAAAAAGAGAACACAAATACTACCACCTGTAGTAGTAAGCCAGTATCGAAGATGGAAGAAGATACCACCACACCCAAAATCGATTCCCCTACCAATTACCAGCAAACCGGTAGTTTTTTCTTTTTCTCTCTGTCTTTAGTCTCGATTATCTTTACTGTTTTCGATAGCATATATAATTGAAATTCTAGCATGAAATTTAGTCTTGTCAGTCAATTTAATGTGTGAGGTATGTTAAACGGCAATACTTTTGAAGGCTAAATGATAAATATGGTAAATTGCCCAAATTTTATGTTTTAGAATACATGATTAATTTGAGTGGTTGATTTATAGTGCCATGAATTCGACTGGTTGATTTTAATGCTTGCATTTTCAGTTTCTGACGACGATGAAATAGACTATTCGATCAAACCCGAATTCTATGACCCAAACCTTGATGATAAAGATGAATTATGGGTTCAGAAGAAAAGGAAAGGCCGGATTTCCGATGCTGTGCTTAGCTGTCCTGCTTGTTTTACCACCCTCTGCCTTGAGTGCCAAAGGTACGTGCACTTGGTCTATCTGTCTTTCGCAATATGCAGACTGTTCCGTGGACGATATTAGATCAAACATTATCCTTTGGATAATGTCTAGGTAAATAAAAAATGTCAAATTCATGTCATATTGATATGTTTCTCTATTCCGTCTTCAAGCGTTCTATGAAATCTGAATGAACTTCAACTTAACAATTGTGATTTGTGAATGGAAGTAAAGGAAGAGAAACGGATATGTTATAAGGATGTAAAGTCAAATTAAAACTTGGCATGTTGTCGATAGTGTACTGTTATCTTATCAGATATTATTCATAAATAATATATATAAAAGGCACTGAAGCTAACTTCTGGTAATATACCATGTCAATAAGATATGACTACAAGCACTTTCTTCCTTACATCGAGTTTCGTTTCTTCTATCTATTAGACGAAAGGTAATATCTCTCTCTTTTTCTTTTTTCTTTTCTACTGCTGCTTGTGAAATGTGATTAGTGGTTCCCAACAGCATTTTTTCCTTGTTTTGGGCGATAATATGCTTTGCTGTTTTTAAGTAGTTTTTACATTTAAGGGATAAATGAGACATAATGTCTTTTAACGGGGATTTACAGATACGATTGTTCCTCATTGCATTACGGAGAAGTATGTGATGGGATCGAAATGTGCATTTATTCATCCTATAAACTAAAGTTAATTGGGGTTTTGCAGGCACGAAAAGTACGTGACTCAATACAGGGCGATTTTCGTTGTGAACTGCAAGATAGAAAACGAAAAGATCAGGCAAGCAAAGGTAAAACCGAAAAAGTCAGGCAAGAGAAGAAGAGAATCCGGTGAGGATGAAGCAGCTGCTGCCAGTGGGGAAACTTTCAAGGCAGTCTGTTGTTTGGTCTGCTCGACGGAGGTTGGTGTCATCGATGAAGACGAGGTTTATCACTTTTTCAATGTTCTTCCAAGTGAGTCCTGAGCCTTGGGTCATGACCTGCGCTTTCTCGCTTGCTGGGGGATACCAAACAAACGACTACTATATCTCATTCTCAGTCTGGATATTAACGTCCAACTTAGACGACTGTTAAATTTTTAATGAAAAAGACGAGTTTGGAATATAATGAATAGTCGGGTGACTGTTTTGTAAATTTTAATTGTCGAAGGGACTCAACAAAGTAATGCTTTATAATTGAGAGATTATTTTATAACTTTGAATAATTAAGAGACTCAACAAAACAATATCAAAAGACCATTTGTGTATTTTACCTTAAAAAAATTAATAGCATTATACTATTTTTTATCTTTTCAAAAACTAAAAAAGTATCTGTCTTTGGTACATTGGTTTTCAACAAGGACTTGAATAGTGTATCCATGGAGCAAGAGACGATGGGTGGAAATGGGTATAAATGCTAGGGAGAAATTTGCAGGACTTTGTTTTACTTCATATGGTAAACTGTTTTCCAGCTCATTTGAAGAATATGTATCTACCTCTTTATTCCGTCTAAAAATTAACTTTTGATAAATCAAGTGAATAATATATAATGTTTTATATAAGAGTGACCTAATTAAAAAGTTTTCTATAAACGAGGGACTATATTAGTAGTTTTCGCTTTGTTCTTCCATTTGCAGACCATTTTTTTTTGCTCTTAGATGGGGACAAAGCCCAAATCCAGTACAGAAAAACAAAGGTTTACTGGTATTTATTAATTAATTTTCTGATATTATTATTATCCAAACAAGGCCATAAGCATAGAGCAAGAGCGAGAGACAAAGGAGAGCGAGGAAAGAAATGGCTTGTCATCTCCTGGGGACCGACTTCACTCTCCCCTTCAAAAGCTCCAAGTTTTCTCAATTGGTTCGCGCTTTTCATTTCAAACACTCATTTTTTGTTCATGTAATAAATATAATGTTTCCAAAGCTTCAATTTGTAGTCAATTTCAGTCTTCTGTTATATCTGTGTTTTTCGGTACTTTCCAGTACGTAAATTCTTACCCTTTCTTCCTCATGTTGTATACACTGTTTCGTTGATGTATTCAGCGCCAGCAGCGAAAAGGAAGGTCTAAAGGGTCGCAGAAAGTTCCTTCAACTGTTGCTTATTATGGACTAAAGACTCCTCCTTATAACCTTGTCAGTGAACCCTTTTTCTCCCTTTTTATCCTTAATTTTGCATATTGTAAACCACTTGTGATGTAGCAATTTTTGGCTCTTTGAATGGTCACTTCTAGAGTGAGTCGGATTGAATTTTTTTGAGTTAGTTGGGTTGATAAGTATTATTTTATAACTAAAATTTTATTTGAATTCTAATCTAGTTTATAACATTCGATTTGAGTTGTTTGAGGTTATTTTTAAATTTTATTGTAAATATTTATGATGTTGTTGTACTAATTGATTCTAATTTAAATGAATTTTTATAACCATATACGATATATATATATATTTTTTCATATGTGATGCAAAGTTTAGACACTTTACTAACATGAAAATCAATCTATTAATTATTAAAAATTTTGAGTAATTTGAGTCTTATTTTATAATTCAAACTTTATTTAAAAAATTTTCGAGTTGAGTTTATAAAATTAAGAGTCAAGTCGAATCGAGTTTTTTAGATCAAGTCAAATACATCGATTTTTTGAGTCGAGTCGAGTTTTGCTCGTTCCTAATCACTTCCTAGACTTATCTGCATTCATTACCTTCTTGCAGGATGGTTTAGAGCCGTTTATGAGTAGGAGGGCATTAGAGGTGCATTGGGGTGTGCATCATCGTGGCTTTGTGGATGACCTGAATAAACAGCTTGGCAAAAGTGATATACTGTATGGCTACACCATGGATGAACTTGTCAAAGCAACATACAACAATGGGAACCCCCTACCTGAATTTAACAATGCAGCCGAGGTATAACAACGACGACTGTTCATCTTTTAATTGTTTGGTTGTATTCGATGTGTCATTCTCATTCGAATATTATTCAGTTCAAACAAAAGCTTGGGTCTCCGCATCCACTGATGAACGAGTTTTAGGAACCATTGTACCCTAGAATTTTATCCCTAAGAGTGCATTTATGTTGTTTTCGAATTCGTATGGTACTAACATCCGATGTCTCTTGAATCTTTATCCATTTTTATTGCATTGAAGTAATATACCTTTGCCCAATGAAGTTGAAAAAGCATCTAATGTAGGATCAACACTTGATCTTACAATTGCAGGTGTGGAACCATGACTTGTTTTGGGAGTCTATGCAACCTGGAGGTGGGGGCATGCCCAAACTTGGTTTACTTGAACAGATTGAAAAGGATTTTGGATCTTTCACGAACTTCAGAGAGAAGTTTATGGAAACAGCTCTCTCACTATTTGGCTCGGGCTGGGTTTGGGTCGTCTGTAAGTCCTTTCTCGAGTTAATTTCTGTTTGATTATTGATAAACTGTTCCTCTGCTAGGTGCCTAGGTCTCATTTCCATAGCTTGCATTCTCCCTACATTAGCCCTTGCATATTCTTGGTAGTACGAGGCCTATGTGTTCAAGATATAACTTAATACTCACGTTTTCCCTTGTGATTCTTATATTCTCTTTGCTTCAATTTCATTATTTTCTTTCCGTTTTTTCTTTTTAATTCAGTTTGATTCAATAATAGTTCAATTGCTTCTACTTGACAACATTAGCATATAGTTGGAACATGATTTGTTTCTTAACAAGTTGACTCTGCAATTAATCACTTTCATTTGATTGTTTCAGTGAAGAGGCAAGAAAAACGGCTTGCAGTGGTGAAATCGTCGAATTCAATCAATCCAATTGTGTGGGATGACATTGTATGTCAAGTGTCAACCAATATATATATATATATCTGTATCTATTTATGTCCGTCTTTTATACCTGAAAATTTAACCATCATCTTTTGGTGCAGCCCATCCTCAATTTGGATATGTGGGAGGTAACCTTTTCTGTCTCTTGTTCTCTTACCGTATTCCCCCCATGTTACTAGGGGCTGACTGTTTGTTTGTTTGCCATTACAGCATGCTTATTATTTGGATTACAAGGTATGCTACTTGATCTACACCGTTATTTTAGTCCGATATGAGTATACTTTCTTGAAATCGTCATTGCCTCTTCCAAGCAGAATGACAAAGCGAAATACGTGAGCACATTTATGAACCACCTTGTTTCTTGGAATGCTGCAATGGTACGCATAGCACGTGCAGAGGCATTTGTGAATTTAGGCGAGCCTAAAATCCCCATCGCTTGAAATGCCAACCCTCGAAGCTCGAGACTAAATGCAATCGACAAGCTCTCCACTTTGATTGCAGGATTTACTCAAAGAATGCAAATTAACCGCAGGCCATGTCTGCTGAACTCCTTCCACAATGTTTCAAACCGGATATCTGCTTCGTCGGTACAGGACTCGAATCCATCATAGGAAAGCATGGTATTTCCTTGTGTGGGTTGTACCATGTATGAGCCTAGGCTCCCCAATCCTAACAGATAGCTTTTTTTTTTGGGGTGTCGCAACCGTCTTTCGGTTGGGCCCCGGAATTGTGCTTCGACGTGAATTAAATAAATTGGGAGTCGTCATCAATCATTTACTTTACGAAAAGCGGGTTGATCGAATACCTTATTTTTTATTTAATCTGCGTCTTACCAGAGATATGTCAGATTCGAGAGTCGGTTACAGTCAAGAAAGGGTTAGCACATTTGAACTGCTCTTTCGGTACTACGCAATTTTCAGTTGTCATTAAGTAAGAAAATTGAAAGTTTAACTCAAAATGTAAAATTACGATTCAAAATTACTTATCCTAATTCGATTTGAAAATATCCCTTTTAAAAAAGGCGATAAATACGTTAGAAGAAAAAGACAATGAAAGTAAATAAATAAAATAAAGAAAACACATAAATAACACGAATAAACAAAATGAGATAAAAAATAAAAGAAGTAAAAGTAAAAATAAACAAGAAAAAAATGACGTAACGAATCTAATAATAAAAAACAACAATAAAAATAATGAGGAAAAATACAAAAAAATAGAAAATAAATGAAAAGAAAAAGCAATCACATAAAATAAATAAAAAAATGTAAGTTAGAAGTAAAATAATAATATCAATTATAATGATAATTATAAAAATATAAATATATACGTTAATAGCAAAAATAAATAGTAATAATACTAGTTATATGAATATATATATATATATATATATATATATATATATATATATAACAACTTATAAACAAGGTATAAAAAAATAATAGTAATAATAAGTATTAAAATAAAAAAATAGTAATAAAAAAATTATAAAAAATATGAAAATCAAAGTAATATATAAATATATATATAAATAAAAAATAAAGTATAAATGAAATAAATAATAATAATAATGGAAATATAAGTAAACATATATGATATTAGTAGGGGATTAAATTGAAATAAAAGCTAAATCAGTAAGCAAATGTCAAAGAACATTGAAGATTAAAACCGGTAAAAATAAAAAAAAAATTATTTTTTAATAGATTTTCGCACCCTCATTTCAAAAATGTAATTTATTTTTTGCGAAATAATCTATAGGGAATGTAGATCTGAAATCAAAGTTTCGAAAAACTCCCTCCGGGTCATCGACTAAAAATTTGTCTTTGGGGTTCTCAAGCAAAGAAAACGCGATTAACAACGTATGCAAGTGAAGAGTAAAGAGAAACAAACGAAAGGTAAAAAAAACCTTTTACCTTTATTACTTCGAATCGTTTACAATAGTCTCGAAATCACTTTTTCTTTTCTCGTTTTTTTCTGGCATTCATTTTGTGTAACTCGTGTGTGTTCTGGTGTGGTAATTACAAGGCTTATTTATAGTACTAAAAAATCTTATTTTAGACTAGTATTTGAGTCCTGATCCAACTCTATTCTAGACTAGTATTTAAGTCATAATCTAACTCTTCTTTATTGGTTACATGAAGACTCCTTAGTTAGTAGGACAAAATCTGATATCTTCATGGTTGTAATTCTCCAAATGTCCGTGCCAAAACCTAAGGTTAGGTTGGGAACTGAATTCATTAGGGATGTTTGGTTTTGTTTTGATAATAGAGTTAGGCTGGGACCATACCCTTAAAAATTGAATGAGTTGGAACTCAGCTCAGCTGCCCCATTACTTGCCTTTATATAACTTTTTAAAGGAAGACGGGGGCAATGCCCATTGCTAGAAAACTTTAATTGAACCAACTTTTTTAATGTGGAATGGGGACCTTTCAATTACCCTTTTGCCTTTGAATGATAGCTAATGTCTCCATAGTTTCTATTCTAAATTAGAAATTTCCATGAAAGGCAGCTTGGCATGTCTTCTTGCATACCAGATGCGACACTTTAAGCATGTAAACCAAATTGCTTTATGACTTTCATTCTTGATTTAACCATCTATATTCAATTTATTAATCGATTATTTAGAATTAGGTTTTTTTAGAAGTTGGAGTAAATTTCTCAATTATATTTGCTTTATACACAGATCTCAGTATTCAAATTCCTTTACTTAAAAAGATCTCGTACTTCGTTCCGTTAAACTTTAGTAATCAACCAACTTTTTGTTGTTGGTAAATCTCATTACAACTTTAATAATCCACATAGTTTATGTACTACCTCTCTCCTCTTTTTCCAATGAAAATTACTTGGGATCTGTCCAAATTGGGTGCTGGAACTCAAAATATCAAGATTTTTTTTCATTAATTTAGAAAGCCAATTTTTATTTTCTTGTAAAAGTAAAGTAGATTCGGATAACATATTTATAAATTTATTACATAATATAGATTTGGATAATTAATATCACATTGTTAATTTCGATATCCATTATAAATCCGTTATGGATAGTGATTTAAAATAAAATATCAAATATTTAAATCCGTATAGTGTATTATCATTCCTAAACATACAATTATAAATATTATAATTTTTTATTCAAATAAAAAGTTCGATATTTTTTTAATAAAATTATTATCATATGAACAAAATCAATTCGATGGTTGTGAATATTTGTCGATGATGTGATTGACTGATGCATGATCTTGAGCCGTCCAAATGCAATCAAATGGGTTCGGTTGAAACATCGTCAATGCCTTGGATTCCCTCCACGGTTTCTGCTCAGAATTTCTCTGTTCCAACTAATTTGTCTCAAAACGTCTGTATTGACTAATTTGCCCCTTCATTTAGTATTTTTAGGGTTATCTATACTTTTAGTACACCGATAAAAAATTAATGGAGATGTGACATATCACAATAAGTTAGTGCCACTTTCATTAATGTTTTTTTAAATGTCACGTCGGTAGTTTTTTTAATTTTTTATGACGGTGACCGAAATGAAATCAAAACATTACATTAGGTATGATTTTAAAAAAATAATAGTTAAGTGATTAAAATAGAACAAAAGTGATAGTTGAGATACTAAACATATAAATTACTCTAATTTTTAAAAATATTTTATTTTTAAATTATATTTTTATTTGATACTAAACAATCTTAATATGCAGTTAATAATATATAAATATTAATATTCTTACTAATTTAATTAAAAAATTCTAAAGAACTAATATATATTTTTTTTCAAATTACTTGTGAAATTTTCAAATCTATCATTAAGTAATTTACTTCGACTCGTTAAGAATTTAATTCAAATTCTAACTTAATTTAAATATTAATCAAATTTTAACTGAATAAATTTTAAATAATTCACAATATGTCTAATCTTATTTACTCCCCTAACCATCCTCATTTCCTTTCCCAACTATTTTTCAAATTAACATAAATATCAGGAAGAGCCCCGCCGGCAATATTTTGAAAATAAGTGGCAAAATAGTCTTTTTAACATTAAATTCGTAAAATGTTAAAATCCTCATATAAGTACGGTCGGTATCCGGTAATTAAAAACCTCAAAAATTCAAAATTTTGAGGGAAAATTGAATTCTCTACCTTCCAATCTTCTATTTTTTTTTAATTTTCTCTACATTTTCTCAGAAGCCAAACATACCTGTACATTGTCCTTCTACTCTATTGAAAGAGTACATACACTGAACTTCCTTTTAAGGCTTTTATTTAAAAGGATAAAACTTGGCTTTTACAGGCATTATAGTCTGTTTCTTCGTTAGTACTTTTAATTACTTGGAATGTGGAGCATTTTCTAGGGTTTAGAGATCAACGCTTTGAAGTGCTCACCTGGATTTGAAGTAACCATTTTCATTTTTCTTTTCAGGTAAGTGAAGAAAAGTTTGATATTTTTGCTTTTTATTTTCTATTTTCTTGCTAGCTTGGATCGCGTTTGATTTGGCATGTCGTTTGTTGTTTTCTAAGGCTTAATACTTATCTGTTTCATGAGAAAATAGAGAAATGAAGGGATGTTTCTAATTCTGACAATTATTTAATACGGCTTTGAAATTGTCATTAATTATCTATTTCATTATTATTTATATTTAAATTATTTTTATATTTTTAAGCAACCGAATGATAGGACCGTTTATGTAAAGGAATGGTGAAATTACATGAAGCTTGAGGATTTTGATTTAAGATTTGAAGGAATTTATGTTGATATTAGATAGGATTTAACTTTGCTGAAGGCTTTTATGATGCTGCGATGTTTCCAACTGGTTAATTACAATAAATTCTAGCTGTGATAGTTGATGCTTTAACCATCCTATAAGCTTTGAGCTTGTTAATGGTGACTGAGGATTGAAGAGCACTAGGGTCTATATCTTAAACAATGGTCCCCACCATTTGTATTGCCTGGATATGTCTTCAAGTGGGCTTGTATTAAAGCTAGATAGAACTTTTTTCTGAAAACTGAAAAAAAGTTTACCTTAATCGGAAGCCTTTTTATTCCTCTTAAAGCTCAAAACTCAGAGTTATGCACCACAAAAGAGAAGATGTCACAGAAAACAGGGGTTCCTCCTTCCCACCGGTTTACTAAATCTTTGCCTTTTGATTTTAGGTTCATGGGTTCTCCGACTTCTGATCGCATTGGATACGCTGATATAAATTTGGGAAACAATGGCGTAATCAAGTTGAGTTCCCTTGAAAAAGATGGTGATTCAGGGGCCAAGGCTGTTGACAGAGTTGAAAATGGTGTTGCTGATACTGAACAGGGAAATGAGGATTCACCATATAGTGGGAATGTTAAGCTGGTTGAAAACATGCCTTCTGTGGGCAATGAGGACTTGGACTCCGCAACAGCACCATTGCCTTCAGTATCAGAATCTAATATTGGACACAGGTGGAGTGACATAACTTCTTATGCTACAAAAAAGGTAACTTATGGCTATTGGTTTTACATTAGGTTAGCCCTCTTGGCTTCGACAAGATCTACACTTTGCTATGCTTATGTTAAATTTCATGCTGAACTGCTGACTGACTTAATCTTGCTGTTTCAGAAGGTTCAGTCTTGGTTTCAACTTCCAAATGGGAATTGGGAGCTGGGCAGAATGATATCAACTTCAGGAACGGAGTCTGTTATTTCGCTTCCTGCTGGGAAAGTAAGCATATATTAAGAAAGCATGGAGTATAAGTTCCTACATTAAGTAGATATGAATTTACTTGTATTTCAATTGTAGGTTTTAAAGGTGAACTCTGATAGTTTGATACCTGCAAAT